AAGCATTGGGTTGGAAGCCACTTAAAACAGAAAGGAAGAAAAGTAAAGCAAAAATCATGTACAAATTATTGAACAAAATGGGACCGAAATCACTCACTAATCTCTTCACATATAAAAGTGAGGTGACAAACTACAAACTTCGGGACATTTCAAGTAGTCTTTCTTTACCACAACCGCGCACTAATAATATGAAAAACAGTTTCATGTATGACGGAGCAAACCTTTGGAATTCTATTCCTAAAGAAATTAGAGAGAATTCTTCCTTTCGAAAGAAAATCGCTACTCACATTGATTAATTAAAATTATTACTTAGATTGATACCTAATTGAAAATATATAAGTCTATATACCTGTAAATAGATTATTACTTATAGTTAATTTTGTTAGTTCATATAATACTATATATCTTATATAATTTTGTAAATAGTTTTTAAAATTATTTTCTGTATACTTTTTCGCATGCCCCTCGTGGAAATCAGCTTCGGTTGACGGGGTTAGTGTGATTTTAAAAATATACAATTACTTTATGGTTTTCGTGTTTGGATGGCCTGATCCAAACACGCGGGAATGTTGCGAGAGTTAAGAAAAGCGCGCGAAACACGAGCCGAAGGCGAGTGATTTTGCGCGCTTTTCTTAACTCGAGCAACATTCTCAAGTGTTTGGATCAGGCCATGATCCAAACACAGAAACCATAAAGTAATTGTTTTATAAAATAACAACTTTGCGTGTTAATATTTCACTTTAAAAAACTTTCACTTTAAATTTCCGTGTTTGGATGGCCTGATCCAAACACGGGTTTCGACCAATCAGAGCACGCGTTACATACATGTTATTTTATAATAAAGTTTTCTATCTATCTATTTGGTATAAAGTGGAAACACAAGTCAATGTCACGTGACACGTCGAAGAAGTCACATGACACGTCGAAGAAGTCACATGACCTGGCACAGCCTCGCTTCGCATTTTTCGTCGATCAGTTCATGTCTTTCTGAGACGAAGGATTTTACATCGTGTGTGTCTGTGTGTCAAAGAAGAACAGTAGTATGTAAGTTTTTCTATTTGACTTTTAATACTTATCAGTAAAAGGCTTTCTTTAGCTATATCAACAAAGTTTAGGCAAGAAAAAGGCATCAAGCAACTCGTTGAAGAAGGCGTTTCAGCATCGTTGTTGTCAGAAGCGAAAGTAACAAATGCATGAATAAATTGGCAACTTTCGGTCGTTCTAATGGCTTCTAAAGTTATTTTATAAGGCTAGAATATTGGTTTGTCTTAACACATTACGAATTAGTGAAGATAATTGTATATGAAAAAAAGCTATGTTTGGTCGATGATATAAGATATGTTGCGTGGGCTTCCCGCTTTTCAATTGACGAAACTTAAATATTTAGTTCCTCGTTTGAGAATTGATTTAATGTGACGAATTTACCTCCCGAAAGTATAGAGAACGTTATAACAATAATGGTTATGTTCACGTAAACGTTCTTATTCTTTTCAAATAGTGCCTATAAACGCTTCGTTTATACTTACTCTTGCTTGGAAACCGTCGGATCGGAACACCTTAAATAATTTATTACCTGTAACTATCACGACATAGGTATTATGTTACGTATCTGTCACGCGTATTTGATGGAATTTGACCTTCTAGGTTTTCGTAAAGGCCCATTTACACGATACGATTAGTTGTATACGATTGTCATTCTGACGAATGAAAACGAGTGCTAATGCCACGTTATTGCTCATTCGCTAATGGCGAAATTTGAAATGTGACGTTTGTACGCGTGTTTATTCGATCACATACGCCAGAGTAAGAATCGTATACAACTAATCGTACCGTGTAAATGGGCCTTAATAGTACTTAGTTAAAAAAACTAATAATTACCAAAAAAGTTAAAAAATGCCAAAGTTGTGGTTTATAATTGTGAAGTAGATGAAGTCTGTGGCTTCTGATTGTCGGATTCTGTTTACTGTTAATATTTTTTTAATTGGTTGGAGCAGTTAGGGACGGACCATTAGAAAAGTGATGGGGGGGAGGGGATTTTCTAAGAGGCAATATTTTTTTTTTTTGTACACCTATAGAAGAAATATATTTTTTTTCTCACTTGATGGTTGGAAATATATTTTTTTTAAGTGAAATTTATAGGCTTAACTCGAGCAACAT